CATACCAATTATAATGTGTATAGAGTGATCATAGTGCAACATTTATTTCGAATTAGATAACTGAGTCGCGGGGGCAAATATCGATACCAACTATGTCTGATTCAAATGGAATCTTATCATTATCAGATAGAAGGAAGTATTATTGGTGCAAAAACAACATGCATGTTGTGTGTAAGATATTGACCAGAAGAACATTTTCCTATGAATCTTTGAACAATCTCCAAAACTTTTTTCGTTTTCGTTTTGCCGACGTGGTCGCATTACTGTTGGTTTCATTGTTAATCTGATCTAATAATTATCGTAAGCAGTGTTAGCGGCTATTTCTGCTCACCCGCGATATATTCTTTTAAATTAGTTTTCCCGGTTGTTCGTTTCATTAGATTCGTTGTTAATTGCGTATTTATATTGAAAATATACTAATTACAATAATTTTAGAGTAGTTTCCCGCCATTTTCTTTAAATGGTAAATTATGATTATGTGTGCAACATTAATTTCGAATTAGCTAACTGAGTCGCGGGGGCAAATATCGATACCAACTATGTCTGATTCAAATGGAATCTTATTATTATCAGATAGAAAAAAGTATTATTAGTGCAAAACAACATGCATGGTTGTGTGTAAGATATTGACCAGAAGAACATTTCCCTATGAATCTTTGAACAATCTCCATAACTTTTTTCTTTTTCGTTTTTGCAGGTTTCATTATTAATCTGATCAATAATTATCGTAAGCAGTGTTAGCGGCTATTTCTGCTCACCCTCGATATATTTTTTTTAAATTAGTTTTCCCGGTTGTTCGTTTCATTATATTCGTTGTCAATTGCGTATTTATATTGAAAATATACTAATTACAATAATTTTAGAGTAGTTTCCCGATATGTGCAACATGCACGAGTTACACATAACCTGCAGCAATGTACTGTGTAGGTAATTAATAATAGTTCTAGCTATTGTTATATTTACAAATACTCCCATCTTGAGTGCAAATTCATCACTAAAATCACTTCCTTTCACCCGTATGACCAACCTTGCAAAAAAGGAGGCGCTTTTTTCTTTACGTTACGCAACTAACTCACTTCTCAATGCCCCTCTCTCCCTATCGTTTCCCGTTCTAACGCTATGATAAAGAATGGTTTTCAAATATTAAATACTCGTCTCTCGATCCATCATATAATATCTTCTTCTTTTAACACTTTCTCCTGCTCTTCGGGTCATTTCATCGTGGCTTCACCGTCATTCAAAAGCTCGGCAAAACGCTGAATCTTTAATGTTCCTTCTTGAGAAAAACCGGGTTGTAATAACAGCTAAAAATCATGGTTCAGGGCATCTTACACATAATGCAGCCACAAAACCCGAAAAGTTGAAGAGCTTATCGATTGAAAGTCAAGAATACATTGCTATTGTCAATGTGTGTACAACTCTAATACTAAATGGCGGGTATTTGCGGGCATATAGAAATCAAAACATCTTGCCAATAGTCATGTGGTTAATAGTACGTTACACATATTTACAGGTTCGTTACAGCACATACACTAACGCTAATAACGCAAAAACTCCGTTTTAATAGGTCGACAAATTAATTTACCTCATACTCAAAGCTTCTTACGTTCTTCCTCTATGAATACTATGGATTATGAAAGTACTGGATATCAAAATAATTCCTCGGTTTCATATACCCACCCGGGTAACCTTAGCCCACCACCGTATTGCAATCAAGCCGAGACCCACACAAACAATTTTTATTCACTTCCAATACCTTTCTGTGGCTCCTCCACCCAACCAACGGATAATCGACATTTCAACAATCGATCTATTTCATACACTATTACGCCAATATCCATGCAAACGTCACTGTCATTTAACAGCTCTAACGCAATGAACGAGCCAAGATAGCTTGTTACGAAAGTAGAGAAAACTCAATCGGTGGTATCAGCAGCTGACATTGGCGAAATGCTAGCTAACCAAACTCGAACGAGATAATTTATTTATGTTTGTCCTTGTAGACGTCTTTTCCACCTTGTAGGGAAAGTTTTGTATTAATATAGATTATTATAGGAAATTGTTCAATATTTATTTAACTAACTTTTTAACAGTGTAAAGTCGGTTACTGGTTTCCATTTTGTTGCCCTTGGTTTTTTTTGTGGTGGGGAAACATCATAATATTATATCAAGGTTTATTAAATTAACTTTTGAACATTATTGTTTCTGGGCCGTATCCTTTTAACGCTTGTTGTTACGCTGGCGAGTGATATCTGTGGCAACAAAAGAAAAGGAAATTGTGAACCAAAAATTCGTTACTTTTTAACTCTAAAAAGCGTAAGTGTCAAGAAATTGGTTATGGCTCGAGAACAATAACGTCTTACATTGATGAAAATTAATGTTATTTCCACGTCATCATAATTCGGAGAACGCCAATTACGTTATGTGTGTTTGTTAATAAACTTTTAATTTAAAAATTAATGTCTGTCTTTCTTAATGACATAGCGCGCAATGCAAAAAATACAAGTTATGGAGAATGGTCGGGAATTGCCGGTCGAATTTGAACAAACCAAGTCATGCGCTAATGTTGATTGTAAACTAGACGGTGTGGTTCATTAAACTATTTCCATGAATTGCCACATGATAATACATTTGAGAAAATTAGGTACTGAACACTTATACGGATTTAGAAATTTACATTCATGGAAGTTGCATTTAGAGAGAGTTCAACGTACAACGATCACACGGGTTGTGCAAAACATTAACATATACTAAATATTTCAGTCAACCGTCGTCGATAGCTTAAATAAAATACGCATTAACTATTTCAATAAAGATTTATGGAAAGTTTGCCAGAATGTAATATGAAGCTCCCACAAAAGATATCACTATCGCAAGTGTAGAATAATTATTCTAAATCAATGGCTGCTATACAATGATTGAATTTGCAATATTTGCAATCCTCTCATAACCACATATTTGACTTTGTGAGCGCAAAGGTACGTGAACGTCCGCCATAGGACGGACAAATTTTACGAGTTTTCAAATTGATATACCTAACGCCGGAACCGATTCTTGATGAGTCGGATGGATAGGGCGCTATACAATTTCTAGTATTTTTGTTCATAGATCTCGTATCGACATTATTTCTCGCCTGAATTATAATTGTTGAGAGAGATAACTATGAGTTCAAGTGTGTGGGTTATGGTTGTAATATGAGACGCTTGAACTAGTCGAGGAAAGAAGGGTGACAACTTTAATTAGTGGCCATTTGAGCGGCATTTGTTAACGTCATATCTTGAGTATGAGTACAATGATGTTGGACAGCCATTGAACAGTATCCAAAGATACCACATCATTTACCATCATTTCGAACTGGATTGTTGGATTTGACTTTTTGATCGATAATGTTATTATAAAGATCTCGTTAATGTTGTGTGAAAGGAAAAATGTGAACGCTCATCAGCTACATTATATATAAAAGTCTTATCTATGCTTTTGGAATAACTTGCATATGATCTTAAAAGTTAGAAAAAGTAAATCTTGCTTTCTTAAACCATCATGCAAGTTTTGCATGAGATAAGTGTAAAATTGCTAATTGTGCTCTCGACAAATAAGTATATCTGCTATTTAACTTATCATGTTTTTCAAAAGCTCACAATTAATAACTTCACACTTGTGCAAAACTTGCATAACGGTTTATGAACGAGAAGAGATTTATTCTGTAGTATATGGCCTTTTGTTTCCTCTTAAAGTCTGTTTAATAAAAGTCTGATTAATAAAATTCTTTGTTACTCACTTTTGAGAGATACCGTGAGTTTTTATTTACGCGGTCATTAAAACATTTGGTACATACTATAATAAGTTGTTTACAATGACATATAACTTATTAGCAAAAGTTTATTATACTGCCTATATTATTATTTATAAAAGTTCTCACGACTCGTTAACATAGGTTAATTAAATATTGTATGGTGGGGGACACATATACGCATCAAACAAAAATTGATGCATTTCCAACAGTAATACAAGCATTACTGTATTAATAATTCAAAATTTAAGAACGCCATTTTGTTCTTCTTGATAAACGTTAACAAACTGCGTTTAGAAAATTGACAAATGTTACATGTGGTTTGACATATAACTGTTCAAAGTTTGGTTAATTTATATAGTGAGCGGAAATTTGAAACAGCCTTTTCTGGTAAAATTTATCTTAAATTTGGTACATTTCTTAAGGCCTTAACAAAAAAGGAGATCTTGTGTTACATTACCATTGGATAAAGATACTCTTAGAACGAAAAATTTTCGTCTTTAACGATTTTTGAATAAAAATTAATAAAATTACTATTGTTGATCATTGACATTTTCAGTAATAATTTCCCCTTAAAAATTGAAACAATTTGATGCGTATATGTGTCCCCCGCCATACCAGCCATTCGTCTATCAGCTGATTTTAATTTCTATATTTTATTGCTCACTTTCTCAAAAGACAAATTTCGACTATGGTAATAGACGGTATAAATTAGTTAACATATGCAGCGAATACGCGTTTAATTTTTACTTCAACGTTTGATTCAATATTCAACTTAACTTCAATATTCAATTTTAATTTTAATTTTAATTGAAGTTAAAAGACAAAGGTCGTTTATATGTGCTTCGTAATGTAAAAAAAATTGGGTTGGCCAAAGCAGTTATAAATTGGATATTGATTTTTGGCTTAGCATTAAACAAAGCAATTAGCTGTGTTTGTGAATCAAAAAAAGAAACGTCTCCTCAACGTATGCGCGAACCGTTCGGAAAAATATCACCCCATTTCAACCAATAAATCAATGTGTATGATTCATTATTTTAAAAACTAAAATTTTAGCTTCCGATTATCTCACACACGAAACAATTCTATGACAACCTTTGTGCTATCTTCTAAGTTTTGATCGTTCAAAACCTGGTATCCGTCGCATACAATAATGTACGCAGACGCTTTCAATACAAGTCACCAATAAACAACGGTACACTAAATTTGTTGCTTCATTTTGCCATAGCCCGCGCTATTTTGTAAGCATCGATTGTTCGATATCGGTTTCCATACACATATTGTTCGTGCATGACATACAATTCGACTCAAGTCCACTCTTTACTTCTCAATTAAAAACAGCTTTGTCTAAAAATGACCAACAAATTATCGTGTTAATATTTTACGCTATATTAATTCTGTCAGCTTATCAAGAAAAACACCAATATTATTTCAAAAAGTTATATATAAAAAGACAACCGTGTTTACTTTTACTGATCGTATTCTTATTTCGACACCGGTCGCATATTAATTGGATCTTACCAATATATTGACCCATCTACCTAGTGGACGTTGAAAGAACGGTATAATCAAATCAAAAATAATTTCGTTGATTTATGTAACTGGAATTTATTTTTCTTAGGCAAGCAATTATATTGCAAGTTTTTGGAATTTTAACTTATGTCGACTAAAGTCGTCACTATCAAAAAACAACAACACTCTAATTAACCAAAATGGAAAGTCAGATATAAAACAAAGAATTGCACAAATTCGCCAAGAATGATCTCTACAAGCGTCATCTCTTGCATCATTTTTATCAATGCGTCTAAACAAAAGAGCACAAAAATTAGCGACATTGCAAAAAATTTCTCGCTGATTCATCTACAGAAAATGAAAGTATTCCTGAAGCAGACACCCGCATCGACACCAATAATAAAGAAGTTGTTGTCAGCGACAATGATAATGATAAACAATCGAGTAAAGCAAGAAAAAGACGTGCAATTAGAACTATTACAAATAAGAAACAGAAAACTGATTAAGTTTATTATCAATTTTTCTTTATAAGTCTACTACATTATTACGCACGTTTTTATATACTTTTTTTTTCTTCTTCTTCTTTACTTAATCAATAAAATATTACTAAACACCAAATATCGATTTTGTTTCTGGTACGCAAATTATCAATAAATTTTCTCGTGGTACATTAAGCCCAATCTCTCAATAGTTGATTTGATTTCTGTAACATAAAAGTAACCTTTGTTTCTTAATCTTCTCCGCGAATAGCATAACGACATTTCATAGTACTAATTTTGGCTGACTCGCCACAAGTAATTTCTTAACCCCACCGAAAATTTTGAACGAAGCAAAATTGAAAACCAATAATATGTTGATATTATCGCCGAGTATTCTCGCGTTACCTTGCATCTTTATTATCAGCAGGACAAGCTTGTGTTCCCTTATGTAGATGTACTAAATTCAAATTATTAGCTTACACAAGAATGCTTTTAAGACTGATCCTGAAGTAACTAAAGAAGACCAGCAATTACAACAAATAGCTTACAGATTTATCAATTTTCCGTTCACTTACATTAATAAGATACATTATAAATCTGGACACAAATATTAATCAATAATAAATTTAATAATAAATTTAAATAATCGAGTATTTATCTGTGCTTGAAATAATCTGGCGTAACAAGAGAACGTCGTCACCATATTTATTATTAACTTAAATTGGAAATAATCATAGCACCTATACAATAACCTGAATTATTATGACAAATGACAAACAATGCGACATAATGTGGTAAAACAGTGAATAAATACTCGATTATTAAATTTAAAACTTAAAAAAATAACAAATAGTGTGATACAATAAAATACACGCTGCTGTATTTTAGTAAATTACGTTATCCCAAAAAGTAAATTATTACCATAAAAAAAATAAATATAATGCTGTTGATAATACTAACCTTTACCACAGACAGTGAACATTACTTACTCAGTTAATTCCTTTATTTTTCATTCAATACTCGCTCTCTTTTTACACTTACTAGTTAGTACCTAATTCAAATTCATCGACGGCGCCAAGGTATCGATACTCGTGCGTGAAAACATTGACAAG